GCGAAGAAGAAGAAAATGAACAAGTGTTAGAGAATATATTTGAAGAAATAGTGACAGAAAACTTCTCTAATTTGGTGAAGGAAGAAGGCATTCAAGTTCAAGAAGCACAGAGAGCCCCAAGTAAGAAGCACCCAAACAAACCCACACTAAGACACATAGTAATCAAAGTGCCAAAAACTCAAGACAAAGAGAGAATCCTAAAAGCAGCAAGAAAAGCAACAGGTTACCTGCAAAGGAAACCCCATACGGCTTTCAGCTGACTTCTCAACAGAAATATTACAGTCCAGAAGGAAATGGCATCAGGTAATCAAGATCATGAAAAGCTGGGTTAGCAATACTCATATCTGATAAAATAGATCTCAAAATGAAGGCCATAACTAGAGACAAAGAAGGCCAGTACATAATATTGAAAAGATCTATCTAACAGGAAGATATAACCTTGATAAACGTATATGCACCCAATATAGGAGCACCAAAATATATCAAAAATCTTCTGGAGGCCTTCAAAGAGAAATTGATAGCAGTACAATCATAGCAGGGAACTTCAGCACCCCGCTAACGTCACTGGATAGATCCTCTAGACAAAAAATTAACAAGGAAACAGAGACTCTAATTGAAGCACTAGACCAAATGGATTTAATAGATATCTACAGAGAATTACACCCAAAAACTACAGAATTCACATTTTTAAGTGCACATGGGACATTCTCAAAGATAGACCACATGTTAGGGCACACACTAAGTCTCTACAAGATTAAAAAGACTGAAATCATATCAAGCATCTTCTCAGATCACAATGGCATGAAACTAGAAATCAATTGCAAGAAGAACATAAAAAAAAATTGAACACATGGCAGCTAAATAGCATGTTATTAAACAATGAATGGGTTACCAAGGAGATCAAGGAAAAAATTTAAAACTTCCTGGAAACCAATGAAAATGACACAACAACACAAAATCTATGGGATACAGCGAAAGCAATTCTGAGAGGGAAGTTCATAACACTACAGGCCTACCTCAAAAAACAAGAAAAATCTCTAATAGACTATCTAACTAGAGAGCAAACAAAAAGGAAACCCCAGAGCAATTAGAAGGAAGAAAATAGTAAAGATCAGAGCAGAAATAAATGACAGAGTCAAAAAGAACAATTCAAAGGATCAATGAAACAAAGAGCTTTTTTTTCGAAAAGATTAACAAGATTGATGGACCCTTATCTAGACTCACCAAGAAACAAAGAGAGAGAACCCAAATACACAAAATTAGAAATGAAAGAGGAGAAGTAACAGCTGACACCACAGAAATACAAAAGATCGTTAACAACTACTATGAATAATTATATGGCAACAAATTCGACAATCTAAGCGAAATGGACAAATTTCTAGAAACACGTAGTCTCCCAAAACTAGACCAGGAAGAGATAGAAAACTTGAACAGACCAATAACAACAGAAGAAATTGAAGATGTAATCAAGACTCTCCCAGCAAACCAAAGCCCAGGCCCGGATGGCTTCACGGGGGAGTTTTACCGAACATTCAAAGAAGAACTAACACCCATTCTCCTTAAACTATTTCAAAAAATTCAAGAAGAAGGAAGACTTCCAAACTCGTTTTATGAAGCCAGCATAATTCTAATTCCAAAACCAGAAAAAGACACTACAAACAAAGAAAATTACAGGTCAGTATCCCTGATGAACATAGATGCCAAAATCCTGAACAAAATACTAGCAAATCGGATCCAGCAATACACCAAAAAAATTATCCATCATGACCAAGTGGGATTCAGCCCAGGGATGCAAGGCTGGTACAATATTTGCAAATCAATAAACGTGATACACCCCATAAATAAAATGAAGAATTCAAGCCACATGATCATATCAATAGATGCCGAAAAAGCCTTTGACAAAATCCAGCATCCATTTCTGATAAAAATACTCAGCAATGTGGGAATAGAGGGATCATATCTCGACATAATAAAGGCCATATATGAAAGACCTACAGCCAACATCATACTCAGTGGGCAAAAACTAAAAGCATTTTCCTTAAGAACAGGAACAAGGCAAGGATGCCCACTTTCGCCACTCTTATTTAACATAGTACTGGAAGTCTTAGCCACAGCAATCAGACATGAAGAAAAAATAAAAGGGATCCAAATTGGAAAGGAGGAAGTGAAACTGTCATTATTTGCAGATGACATGATATTATACGTAGAAAACCCCAAAGACTCCATCAAAAATTTACTAGATTTAATAAATGAATTTGGAAAAGTAGCAGGATACAAAATTAACGTCAAGAAATCGATGGCATTCTTATACAACAATGATGAACTCACAGAAAGAGAAACTAAGAAAACAATCCCATTTACCATTGCGGCAAAAAAATTAAGATACCTAGGAATAAAAACCAAAGAAATAAAGGACCTATTCGCAGAAAACTACAGGTCATTGACAAATGAAGTAGGGGAAGATATAAAAACGTGGAAGCACATACCCTTTTCATGGATTGGAAGAATTAACATTATCAAAATGTCCATATTACCCAAAGCAATCTATAGATTCAGTGCAATCCTCATCAAAATGCCAACGGCATACTTCACAGAATTAGAACAAGTACTTCAAAAGTTCATATGGAACCAAAAAAGACTTCGAATAGCCACAGCAGTCTTGAAAAAGAAGAACAAAGTTGGAGGGATCACATTACCTGATTTCAGGTTATACTACAAAGCAACCGTAATCAAAACAGCCTGGTACTGGCACAAGAACAGGCATATAGACCAGTGGAACAGAACAGAGAACACAGAAATGGACCCAAGGCAATATGCTCAATTAATATTTGACAAAGGTGGCAAGAGCATACAGTGGAGTAAGGACAGCCTCTTTAAAAAATGGTTTTGGGCCCTGGCCAGTTTGGCTCAGCGGTTAGAGCGTCGTCCTGCGGTCTGGAGAGACCCGGGTTCGGTTCCCGCTAAGGGCACGTACTTTGGTTGCAGTTTGTCCCCGGCCCTGGTTGGTCGTGCGAGTGGCAGCCACTCGATGTGTCCCTTCACGTCGATGTTTCTCTCTCTCTCTCCTTCCTCTCTCTCTCTCTCCCACTCTATCTGTACAAAAAATGGAAAAATATCCTCGGGTGAGGATAAAAAATAATAATAATAAATAAATAAATAAATAAATAATGGTTTTGGGAAAATTGGACAGCTACATGCAGAAAAATGAAACTAGACCATCAACTTACACCCTACACAAGAATAAACTTAAAATGGATAAAAGACTTAAATGTGACTCATGAATCCATAAAAATCCTAGAAGAGACTGTAGGCAACAAAATTTCAGACATCATACGCAGCAGAATTTTTACTGATACATCACCTAAGGCAATAGAAACAAAGGAGGAAATGAACACATGGGACTACATCAAACTCAAAAGCTTCTGCACAGCGAAAGATACAATCATCAAAACAAAAAGGCTACCCACTGTATGGGAGAGCATAATTGCCAATGATACATCAAATAAGGGGTTTATTTCCAATATATATAGAGTCCTCATACAACTCCACAAAAGGAAGACAAAGAACCCAATTACAAAATTGGTAGAGGAACTAAATAGTCACCTCTCCAAACAGGACATACAAATGGCTAAGAGACATATGAAGAAATGCTCAACATCACTAATAATCAGAGAGATGCAAATTAAAACAACCATGAGGTATCACCTCACACCTGTCAGAATGGCCGCCATCAACAAATCGTCAAACAACAAGTGTTGGTGAGGGTGTGGAGAAAAGGGGACTCTAGTACACTGCTGGTGGGAATGCAGACTGGTGCAGCCACTATGGAAAATATGGTGTTACCTCAAAAATTAAAAATTGAACTTCCATTTGACCCAGTGATCCCACTTCTAGGAATATACCCTCAGAAGCCTGAAACACCAATCAGAAAGAATATATGTACCCCCATGTTTGTAGCAGCACTATTTACAATAGCTAAGATCTGGAAACAGCCCAAGTGTCCATCAGTAGACGAATGGATAAAAAAGCAGTGGTACATATACACAATGGAGTACTACGCAGCGGTAAGAAAGAAAGATCTCTTATCCTTTGAGACTACATGGAGGGACCTGGAAAGTATCATCCTAAGTGAAACAAGCCAAACAGAGAAAGACAAATATCATATGATCTCACTTATTTGTGGAGTATAATGAACATAGCATTCTGAGGAATGGGGTACTCCCAGAGACGTGGAAGTGGGGTACAGACTGACAGTCCCCAGGAGAGGGGGTGGTGGGGGAGAGATAAAGCACAGAACTTATATGCATGAACAACAGACATGGACAACAAAGCTGGGGACAGGGCAGGGAGGGAATCAGTAGGGGAAAAAAGAGAAACATCTGTAACAAAAATTAATTTTAAAAAATTAAAAAAAAATACTCATATTTTTGTAGGGATTGGCAAAAAAAAAAAATCAGGGTACCAGTTATTTGCTATAGGTTAAGTAGAATAGAACAGTCCTTTTATAATTGTATCCTCTCAGCTAGTGAATTCAAAGTTGTAGAGGGTTAAACACTTCTTTTGATCCTGCTCTACTAATATGGAATCAGAAAAAAAAAGTTCTGTAGCTGCCTAAAGTGTATCCAGGTATATACTCTTTGCCTACCAAGTGAAAATCAGAATGGCCAAGAAGCTGTTTTCTAATTAAAACCACGTGCTACCTATTTTTTAAAAATCAACTAAACTGAATTATTTTTAGTAATAGATAATGATACTTTATCATTTGAGATAATATACCAAGTATGCCACAGTTAGTTATTATAGTCAGAACTTAACATGTAACATGTAAAATAATATTTTTTTGGTTGTGATTTTTGTGGTCATGTATGTATTTGTTTGTTACTGTGTATTTTGTTACTGCTGTTTGCCTTCAGTTTAGAGTTTGTTTTTTGTTTTTGGATTCTTCCGTTTTTATATTACTTGGAAGAGTCATTTGTAATGTATTTGTTTCCATACTGCAGACGGTATCCAACTGTTGAAAAACGAGCCAGAGTCTTCAATGGAGCAAGTTATGTGCCTATTCCTGAAGATGGCCCCTTTCTCAAATCACTACTCTTCGAACTTAGATTATTGGATGAAGATAAGGACTTCGTGGAGAGCCGTGATAGTTGTTCTCGTATCAATAAAACATCTGTCTATGGACTTAAAGTAGGAGGTGAAGAACTCTGGCCAGTTGTTGCTTTTCTGAAGAATGGCATGGTATATGCTTGTGTTCCACTAGTTGAACAGAATTTATCCCCTCATCCACCATTAATTAGCATTAGTGCAATTTCACAAGGCTTTGAACTTCTTTTTGGGATACAAGACTTTCTTTACTCAAGTCAAAAAAATGATGCTGAGCTAAGTACAAAATTGAGCCAGTTGCCTGACTTGCTTCTACAGGCTTGCCCATTTGGAACTTTGTTAGATGTCAACTTACAGAATTCATTGGATAGTATTAATTTTGCTTCTCTGACTCATCCACAAAAACAGCCAGCCTGGAAAGCTGGAACATACAAAGGAAAACCACAAGTTTCTATTTCTATCACCGAAAAGGTAAAATCTATGCAGTATGACAAACAGGATATAGCAGATACATGGCAAGTAGTTGGAACTGTCACTTGCAAGGTGAGATTTTTCTCTGGTACTTATTTTGTCCTACCATTTAACATCTATGGAGAAAAGTAAAATTTACTAACATTAGTTTATATTGTTATATGACATTGTTGATTTTTATCATAAACAGCAGTCGTTAGATGTTAGGTTCGTGTCAAATTTGGTAAAATTACCTTTTTGCATTTCTTACTAGTTGTATTAATTACATCTTACTAAGATAATGAATTGTCCCATTGTCCCAACAAAGAACATTTATTATCCTTATAATTTGTGAGTCAGGATTTCAGGAGCAGCTTAGCTGGAACTTCTAGTGTGAAGTCTCTCATGAGATCACAGTCAAGATTTCACCTAAAGGTTTTATTGGGGCTGGAAGATCTACCTGCAAGATGGCTCACTCACATGGCTGATTAATGGCGGGAGGTTTTAGTTCCTTTCCATGTAGACTTCTCAACAAGCTGCTTAAGAATGTCCTCATCTTGGTGACTAGTTTCCTGTAGATCAAATAATTAGACAGGAGGTAGACATGGGCCACAGGGAGAAATTTTTTTTATTACTGGGACTTGAAAGGTCAGATAGCATCACTTCCACCATTTTCCATTCATTAGAAATAGGTCATTAAGTCTCTTCCACGTTCAAGGGGGCTGGAATTAAGCTCCCCCTTTTAAAAAGTCAAATAATTTGTGAAAATATTTAAAACCACCATATCTATTATCCATTTTCTCCAGAGGGGTGAAATTGACAAACCTCTGATTTAGTATCTAAATCTATTTTGAAGAGTTCTTGTTTCATTTAAACAAGTCAGTGAGTTAAATATAGAATTCTCTAGTTAGAAAATAGAAAAAGATGATAGAAATAATAATATAGTTAGCAGCGATCAGTACCATGTTGAATAAACATCCATAATAAAAATTCTCCAAGTATAATTTTTACAAGCGTGTATTAATATTCTCAGATGTCTTTATTTTTCTATCTTCCTTTATTCTCTGTACTTGTGAATATAAACTTTTTATATATCAAACTTAATATTGAGTAGCTATATACAAATCCTATAGATAAAAGGAGATTTTAAGAACAGAGAAGTAGAACAGTCCTGGCAGACAAATTGGGTCTTCCTCTTCCATTTTAGCCTTAAAGTGATTTAAGTGTTTATTTCTGTAAACTCACTTCCATCATGATAAAAAATACATAGCAGTTATTAAGTTTATTAGAAATAGTATTGTAAATAGCTCCAAAATGAGGTGTTCATGGATTTTGTTATTTGTAAGTCTTAACACAGTTAGGTTCTTATAAATTCTGTGAGATAAAAGTAGGAAATTCACCATTTCTGTTTTTTCATCCTGTGACAATCAATAGAGAATTTGTTTTGTATAATTGACTGCTAATTAATATCATGATGTTCAAATGTTTTAACTCATTAATAAGCTGACCCGAGTTTATTGCATTTGGGAATTTTTGATTTCTGTTTTTTTGTTTGATACAAATTATCATGGTGGAAAACTTTCTTCTAAATATAAAAAGAGTAGCAGTGTACCTTAACCCACACTCTAAATGTTTCTGTAAACTTGTATGTAAATAGTATACCTGTTAGCCAAACATTTTTAAGTACTTCAGGAGCTTAGTATATAAAAGAGTTTTGTTGTGAAAGCTATTGTAAATGGAAGTAATTATCTTCATTTTATCTTAGTCATCTTAGTCCTAGTAGTCAACCAAAAGCCTGTGGACTAAAGTTCTAGTCCCCACTCCACCACTAATTCTCTGTGTCTTTGGAAAAGTAATAATTTTTAAATTTCTTTCTCATTTTGAAAATCAGATAAATTCCTATGTCCCTTCAGTTTTTATAATCCCTAGTTAAAGGTCCAAATCTACATATGCCAGATTGCTTTAAAGGGTAGTACATAGATTTCTTCTAGAATGAATGTCCTCATTCTCTAATAAATGACTGCTGATTTTAAATCCCTAGGAAGTGGATAATTTATTGGTGTTTTTCATAATGGCTGTAATTTTCCGATCCCTGAAAGAATGTCAGAAGCTAATTTAACAGATATTAACTGCATATGTAAAAATTTTAATAGTATTTGCTATTAATATTTGCTTATTTTATTATCTTTGTAAATATCTGTCAAAAAACAACTTTTTTTGTTTTTGCTGGTTCACATATAGAGAGTGAAGTGGCAGATGGTTTAGAAGTTGAAACACTATTTTTAATTTTTGTAGTAAGATTATTTGGCATTTTTGTTTTTGAATGTGATTGATATTATTATAACTGTCACCAAAAGACCTTTATAATTATACATGGTACTGTTTATATCCCTGCCTGTTCTCTAAATGCTTACATTTTATAGCACATATATATTTTTTTCCTTTTTAATTTATCTTTATTGTTGAAAGTATTATATATGCTCCCCCATGCCCCCGCCCCGCTTTTTTAAATCCCCACCCAAGGATATTTTTCTATTTATCTTCAGTTAGAGGGGGAGGAAGGGAGAGAGAGAGAAACATTGATGTGAAAGGGACACATCGACGGGTTGCCTCCTGCATAACCCCGACCAGGGCCGGAGATGAACCACAACCGAGGTACATGCCTTTGACCACAATTGAACCCAAGACTCTTTGGTCCACAGGCCAATGCTCTAACCACAGAGCAAAACCAGCCAGGGCAGATGTCCTGCTTTTCTCCCCAATTAACCCCTCTTCCCCACTCCCACCTTCCTCCTGCCTTCCCCACATTATTATCTGTTCCTATTGGTTATGTATATATGCATATAAATTCTTTGGTTTATCTCTTCCCACTCCCTATCCCCTTTCCCTCTGAGGTTTGTCAGTCTAAGAATCAATTTATACTTCTTAACCCCTTCACCTTTTTCACCCATTCCCCCAAACCCCCTCCCATCTGACAACCAACAAAAAGTTCTCTATCTCTATGAGTCTGTTTCTGTTCTGCTTTTTCATTTAGTTAGTAGATTCAGCTGTTGATAGATATGTACTTATTGCCATTTTATTGTTCATATTTTTCATCTTTTTCTTCTTTAAGAAGACCCTTCAACATTTCATATAATATTGGTTTGATGGTGATGAACTCCTTTAGCTTTTTCTTGTCTGGGAAACTCTTTATATGTCCATCGATTATAAATGACAGCTTTGCAGGGTAGAGTAATTTTGGTTGTGAGCCCTTGCTTTTCATTACTTTGAATATTTCTGGCCACTCCCTGCTGGCCTGCAAAGTTTCTGTTGTGAAATGAGCTGACAGTGTTATGGGACTGACCTTGTGTAGGTAACAAACTGCTTTTCTCTTGCTGCTTTTAAGATTCTCTCTTTGCCTTTAACCTGTTGCATTTTAATTTGGTGTGTCTTGGTGTGGGCCTCTTTGGGTTCCTTTTGTTTGGAGCTCTCTGTGCTTCCTTGACTTGTATGTCTGTTCCTTCACTAAGTTAGGGAAGTTTTCTGTCATTATTTTTTCAAATCGGTTTTCAATTTCTTGCTCTCTCTCTTCTCCTTCCGGCATCCCCATGGTGTGAATGTTGGCATGCTTAAAGTTGTTCTAGAGGCTTCTTCCACTATCCTCATTTTTTTGGATTCTTTTTTTTATGCTGTTCTGATTGGGTGTGTTTTGCTTCCTTATATTCCAAACCAATGATTCTCAGCTTCACCTACTCTACTGTTGATACTCTGTAAATTATTATTTCAGTTAATGCATCCTTCATTTTTAACTGGTCTTTTATCATGCTCTAGAGGTCCTCACTAAGTTCCTTGAACATCCTTATAACCACTACTTTGAACTCTGCATCTGTTAGATTGTCTGTATCCATTTTGTTTAGTTTTTTTTCCTGGAATTTCATTTGGGACATGTTTCTTTGTTTCCTCATTTTTGGCTGCCTCCCTGTGTTTGTTTCTATGTATTAGGTAGAGTTGCTACATCTCCTAGGTTTTGATGGGTGGCCTATAGTAGTAGATTCCCTATAGGATCTAGTGGCACAGCCCCCCCTAATCACCCCAGCTGGACCCTCAAGGTGCACCCCTAGTATGGATTGTACACTCTTCTGTTGTAATTGAGTCTTGATTGCTCTTGACACATCAGTGGGAGGGATTTACTCAAGCTGATCAGCTACAAGGACTGCCTGTGCCCACTGACCACTGACCTCTGATTGTGTTGGAGGATCAGCTGTACAGTGGCCCACCACACAGAATAAGACTTACTTCAGCAGGACTCTGGTACCCACTGAGTCCATCCATCCCTTGAGTGTGTTATTTGTGGAGGTGGTTTGGTCCTGGTGCTTCAACATGGTCTGAAGCTGTCCACTGGGTACGCTGGCTCTGGGGCCTCTTGGGAGGCACAAGCCAAGGTCAGCCACTGCTGGTGTTCTACCCAGGGCCACCAGGCATAAGCTACAAAGTGATCTGCTGATGGCTGCTTCTTGTGTTGGGCTTTGAGATGGCCGGGCAAGGCCAGGCTGTGAACCAAGGCTGGCTATTGCTGCTGCTGCTGCTGCTGCTGGGCCTGGGGCCACTTAGCTAGAGGTATAGGGCTTGCTGAGCCCAGATACTGCTTGTTTGAGAGATTTTAGGAAAATCTGAAGCATGAGCCGAGACAGGCCAATCCTATGGTGAAGCCACGGGAAACAGCTTGGGTGAGCCCAAAAGTCGGGTGGGGCAGGGCCTCGGGGAATCACCAGGGTGAGGCAAACAGTGTGAGCCAGGTTGCTGGAGTCCCAGGTATGGCACCTGTCCATAGACCTGGGACAACAGCCTCTGACAAGATGACAGCAGGGCTGTCTGAGAGAAAGCTGCCCCTCCAGCTCTCACCCCATTGTCAAACAATGCAGTTTTTCCACGTATGTCTCTGGTGCCGTTCAAACTGCCTCCCCCACATGAGCCCAGAAGGAGCAAGTTCAAGTAAGTCCTTGTGCTGGCCTTTCAAGAGGAGGATCCTGCACCCTGGCCGGTTTGGCTCAGTGGTTGGAGTGTCGGCCTGCGATCCAGAGAGACCCAGGTTCGGGTCCTGAGAAAGGCACGTACCTCAGTTGCGGTTTGTCCCCGGCCCTGGTTGGGTTGTGTGGGTGGCAACCACTTGATGTGTCCCTTTCACATCGATGTTTCTCTCTCTCTCTCTCTCCCTCCCACTCTATCTGAACAAAGTATTGAAAAATGTCCTCCAGTGAGGATAAAAAAAGAGGAGGTTCCTGGGACTCCAGCCTCCTCAGCCTCCCTCAGCCTCAATCCCCGCTGGTTTTTACAGCCAGAAGTTATGGGGACTTCTCTTCCTGGCACCGGAACCCTGAGCTGGGCGCCTGGTGTGGGATGGGGACCCCTCACTCCTCAGGGAGGACCTTCCCAGCCGAGGTATCCTCCTGATTTTTATCCCTCACAAATGAGCGTGGGACCAGCCCTTCTGTGCCTCCACTCCTCCTCCCAGTCTTTTTTTTTTCTTTTTTCTTTTTTATTGATTAATTTTTGTTACAGATGATTCTCCTTTTTTCCCCCACTGATTCCCCCCTCCCCCTCCCCTCCCTGTCCCTTCCCCAGATTGTTGTCCATGTCCACTGTTCATGCATACATGCGTATAAGTTCTGTGCTTCATCCCTCCCCCACCTCCCCACTCCTTAGGGGATTGTCAGTCTGTACCCCGCTTCTGCGTCTCTGGGACTACCCCATTCCTCAAACTGTTATGTTCATTATATTCCACAAATCAGTGAGATCATATGAAATTTGTCTTTCTCTGTTTGGCTTGTTTCACTTAGGATGATACTTTCCACCTCCTCCCAGTCTTGATGGGGCCTCCCTCCCCCCTTTATTGATTTTAGAGAGAGAGGAAGTGAGAAGGAGAAAGAGATAGGAACATCGATAAGAGAGAACATCGATTGGCCGCTTCCTGCATGTCCCCCACTGGGGATCGTGCCCACAACCTGGGCATGTGTCTTGACTGGGAATCAAACCGGTGACCTCTTGGTACATGGGTTGACACTCAACCACTGAGCCACACTGGCCAGACAGGGCATCTTTTTTAATTTTGTAGTTGTAGCACTTCTATTCAGCTCAGTTTCAGGAATCTGAATGATGGCTATTCTGTGTTTAGTTGTAATTTTATTGTGGATATGGGAGGAGGTGAGTACTGCGTTTGCCTATGCCACCATCTTGACCAGAAGTCCCTATATTCTTGAATTTGCACATTTCAGGTAGTAGATAAAACATTAAAAAGGTGAAACATTTCATATTAGAATGGAAAACAAATATATACTACATTATTAGAAAACTATATCCATTTAGCAAACATTTTTGAGTGTCTCTTGTACATAGCAATGTGCTAGACACTCGAGATGTAAAGAAAAAGATGTCTGTGAAACTGTTAAATCTGGCCTCCATGGTCTTCCTAGAATACTGACTTCCCTTTCCCTTCTACCTTCCAAGTCTCTCATGAGTACCTTTCATTGGCAAACTAACCCTATTGGCAGACTACCTAGGAAAAAAGCTCCTGGGCTTCTCTACATTGCAGAGGTAGGCTGTGGAGGTGACAGTATAGCACATAAGGCTTCACACCACGCATCACATGAGCTGAGGTTACAAAGAGAAAAGAAGATTGTAGCTGGAAGGAATAGCACATATAAAGCAAGGAGGTATAAGACATAATTATGAGTTATTCAGGGAAATTAAAGAATCTAACATGTCTACAGCATTTATTGCAGGGTAGAAAATGATTAAAGAGGTAGGTGGGAGCCAAACAATGACAGACTTTAAAAGTAATACAAAACTGAGAGGAAACTACTGGAAGGTTTTGAGCACGGCTACAATAGAATTAGAATTATTTTTCATTAAGATAACGACACTGATGGAGGGTGGATTGTTTAGAGGAAAACAAATCTAAATACATTTCAAAGACTATTACAAGAATTGTAAGGCCTATACCAGTGTGTTTGCAACAAGAGTGGAGGGAAGTCATTGGATTTAAAATAGCTTTTTAAGGGTTGTAAATATAAGCAGAGGGCTCCAGGAAGGCTCTCCTGGTCTCTGGCTTGAGTGTCTGAGGGCATGATAGAACTATTAACGAGAACACAGAAAGCAAAGAAAACAATACCTTGAGAGAAAAGTGAGTTAAGTTGTGGAAAATGACTCAGATAAATTCAGAAAAGCCTCACCCAGAAGATGTATGCTTCTAATATCTTGGTAATATGTTTCCTTTTGTATTGCAGTGTGATTTAGAAGGAATCATGCCCAATGTTACCATCAGCTTGAGTCTCCCCACCAATGGATCTCCACTTCAGGATATTCTAGTTCATCCTTGTGTGACTTCTCTTGACTCTGCCATTCTGACTTCTAGTAGCATTGATGCAATGGATGATTCTGCATTTAGCGGACCTTATAAATTTCCATTCACTCCGCCTTTAGAGTCATTCAACTTATGCTACTACACTTCCCAGGTAAACAACCTTGGAAAAGTTGAGACTTTGCAAATCACTCATATATTTGGTTCAAACAAGAACTTTTGATGTGTTATTTACCAGACAGTAATTGATGAATGAAGATGAAGATTCAATTCTTTGAATAGGATGCCTGTTATATCTGGTGTCTATAACAGCACTGAATGTTTTCAAAATCATGGAGTTTATTATTATTTTTTTAATGTTCCCTAATAGGGAATTCGTGGTCATAAGAAAGATCCTGGTATGACTTAGATAGGGTTTGAACCATGAACATGTAAAAATGCCTCTAGCCCTGGCCAGTTTGGCTCAGCGGTTAGAGCGTCGGCCTGCGGTCCGGAGAGACCCGGGTTCGGTTCCCGCTAAGGGCACGTACTTCAGTTGCAGTTTGTCCCCGGCCCTGGTTGGTCGTGCGGGTGGCAGCCACTCGATGTGTCCCTTCACGTCGATGTTTCTCTCTCTCTCTCCCTTCCTCTCTCCCTCCCACTCTATCTGTACAAAAAATGGAAAAATATCCTCGGGTGAGGATAAAAAAAAAAAAAAAATGCCTCTAATGTTAGGCCACTGTGGTTACAAATTTATAATATTATTAATGGCTATTATTGCTTATAAATGCTGTGTGTCAGACATTGTCCTAGGCACTTTACATGTATTTTCTCTAGTATTTTTAGAATGCTTAAGATAGATAATATTAGTCTCATTTTACAGATGAGGAGAGTCTTAGAGAAGTTCAATGACTTATACAAGGTCATATAACTGATAAGTAGCAGAGTCTAAATTTGAACCCAAATTTACCAGATTCCAAAATCCAACATCTTTTCTACTCTACCATTTGTCTCTTGTTGTTATTGTGAATCAGTAGTTTAGAAAAACCTACTCAAGCTAGCTTAAGTGAATGGAATTTATTTTGAGAATGTAAGGCAATTTCATTGTCATTTAAGGATAGGAAGTAGACCCAGGCCATACTGGAACTAGAATCAGAAAAACAAATTAAAATCACTCTGTACTCAAGGTCTGTACTGTCTGTCTCACCTCTGATTCTCAGTCTCCCCTTCCAACTGGCTTTCTCTGCCTTATATATTTCTTCCAGCTCCAGGATGTATACTGTAAAAGTGGGTCCTTTCTATTTCTTACTTCAGATGTACCAGAAATAGTGATTGGCTCACCCCAGCCTATCTCTTTCAATCAATTATTGATAAACAATTTAGTAAGCTACTGCTGAGCTGGGAGGCAGGGGGCAGTCACAATATACAAATACGGCAACAGGAACTATCGGCAGGGTATCTGTGCATGTCCTACATTACAGGTCAGAGACTCTGGAGGAGGAGAACCTGGACAAGCAAAAGTAGGAAAAAGAATATAAGAATGTATTGCACACCTTTGTAAGGCACCTTTCTCATCTCTGAAAACAAATAGCGATGGAAGAATCCTTACCCTTACAATGAATGTAGCTCCATCATTTGTTATCCAAACAACTTGGAGTAACCCATTAGTAATTAAAGACATATCTTTAAATAATGAGTATATTACTGCAAGACTTTGTTCTCAATCACCATTGATATTTTAGAGCCATTAACCTGAGAAGTATATAAAAGTTTGTTTATGTTTCTTTCCAGGTTCCTGTCCCACCAATTTTGGGCTTTTATCAAATGAAAGAGGAAGAAGTACAACTAAAAATAACAATTAATTTAAAACTTCATGAAAGTGTGAAAAATAATTTTGAGTTCTGTGAAGCTCATATACCGTTTTACAATAGGTAGGAATAAAATAACATGATGCCATGATTTCTGCCTTCCTTATTAGTACATCCCCACTGCCCTACAATAAATTGCCTGTCTTTGTTTTTTACCTTATTTTTAAGATTTTTTAATGTTATTCTAATGAATGCTGATTCTGAACCAAAATATAGTCATAAAAATAATCTCTTTAACTTTATGTCTTTATTTTATTGGCTAAACTTACTAAGAAATATAAACTTAAGCCAGCGTAGCTTTCTCAGGGATTATTTCACTCCTGGCTTTATTTCTAGCAATTTCTCTGTACTCTACATACAAGTCAAGCCCAACTATCAACTATCTGGTGAATTAAGTTAGTCTTATTACAGTTGAACAATCGAGGGTTGGGCCATCGACCCCTGCGCAGTGGAAAATCCATGTTCAACTTTTGACTCCTCAAAAACTTAACTACAGTTGGCCCTCCACACCTGTGGATTCCCAATTATGGATTGAAAAAGTTGACCCTTGGACAACACGGGTTTGAACTGTGTAGGGATCTGTGTAATTATTCAAGGGTCAACTGTACTTCCTCATCAGTTCTTTTAGACTTGTTCTATAGCATAGTTCTTTTCAAAGGGTATCTAAATACCCAGTAAAATTACAGTTTTAATGTTATGTCAATCCATGTGACTGTTAATACATTTTGTATGACTCTAGAGTTGCATTTAGAATTAATAACGTATATCATTGCCAAAAATGTTTATTGTGTGTCTGGTTGTTTTTGAGATGTAATGTTATTTGTTCCACTCTATTCTGCAAACTTGAATATAGAAATGCTTTTATGCTTTCCTTGTATTAACACTTCAATTTCTTAAAATTGTTATATCTGTGATTTCTTTTTTTTTTTTTTTTTGGTTTTGTGTGCTTTTTTAAAGAGGTCCAATCACACATGTGGAATACAAAGTTAGTTTTGGCCAGCTCGAAGTATTACGAGAGAAAAGCTTATTGATCTGGATTATCGGTGAGCCAGGTTTTGTTTGTTTATTATTTTTCATTCAATTGCTGTAGGATCTACTTAATTTAGGATATTTGATTGATATATTTTTGTTTTTAGGACAGAAGTTTCCAAAATCAATGGAAATTAGTCTTTCTGGAACTGTAACTTTTGGAGCCAGGAGCCATGAGAAGGAGCCATTTGACCACATTTGCATTGGGGGTACAGCGTATTTAAAGGTAAATATATTTGTATGGCTCATTGCCTTGGAAACCTTTCCTTTGTTTTTAAATTGCATATATCTAATTGATTATTAATATTTTCTAGCCATTTTTTTTAAACTTGGGGTTTTTTGCCCTGGCTGGTTTGGCTCAGTGGTTAGAGCGTCGGCCTGCGGTCCTGAGAGACCCGGGTTCGGTTCCCGCTAAGGGCATGTATCTCGGTTGCAGTTTATCCCCAGCCCTGGTCGGTTGTGCGGGTGGCAGCCACTCTATGTGTTCCTTTCACATCGATGTTTCTCTCTCTCTCTCTGTTCCTCTCTCTCCCTCCCACTCTACCTGAACGAAAAAAATGGAAAAATGTCCTCGGGTGAGGATAAAAATAAATAAATAAATAAACTTGGGGTTTTTTTCCCTGTGCTGTTTTTTTAATTTTTGTAAGATTCTTTTTGTTTAGTATTATTCTCGTTCTATTTCACTTAATACTTTAAAACTTTTAAGATGAAACAGGTAAGTATGACCTAAATACCTCAATTCGATCTAATTTTGTCCAGCTATAGTTATCACATTTGAGATTTATATAAGAAAAATGTAAGATGTAGTAGTTCTTTTCCCCTAGGGATTTTTTCAATGATCCATGTCAACAGTTGATCAATGCTAACTGCTTTAGGTGTTTCAAGGAAAGAGTGAGCACTTCTGACCAACGTGATCAAAGAAAGTGTTGTAGTAGAGATGGAATTTAAGCAAAACTCTGAGACCCAAATAAGCATGAATATGAAGCCTTGAAGATTGACTAACATTTGTGTAGGTTAAAGAGATAACATAATTAGAGGAATGAAGGATAGCAAAGCATGCGTAGGAACCAATGCCAGGAACAATAGTAACACATAAGGCTGGATAAATGATCTAGATTTGGTTCGTAGAGGATTTTAATATGACTTTTATTCCTTTGTTAGAAAATGTTCTTTTTTTTTTAATAGGAGAGTGGTGTTTTAGAGAGTGATCCTTTATCAAGATCAATCTAGAAAGTATGTGAGGAAGGTGAGAGAAAAAAATAACTACAGACAAATGAACTATTATTTAGCTCTATTAGTATTCCAGATATAAGGTAATAAGTTAATGATGTTGAGTTTCTGTAGTGTCACAAAAAGAGAAAGGAAGAGAATAAAAGGAAGAGACTGCTATAGGAGGTGTAATAGAGGTAAAGCCTTGTTCACTAATTAAATATAGAGACAAGAAGTAGTTTTAACTCATAGGTGGTGTTATTTAAAAAGTATGTAACTTAGCCGGCCAGTGTGGCTCAGTGGTTGAGCGTTGACCCATGCACCAAGAGGTTGCCGGTTCAATTCCCAGTTGGCACATTCCCAGGTTGTGGGTCTGATCTCCAGTGGAAGGCATACAGGAGGTGGCCAATTGATGTTTCTCTCCCTCTCCCTCTCTCTCTCTAACATCAATAAAGAAAAAAGAAATAAAAAGTATGTAACTTAAACCAGACTTGAAACTCCAAGAGAGAAGAGACCATGTGAGTTTCATTCATTCATTGTTTTACTACCAACATCTAGTCCAGTACCTGCCACATAAATATTTGATGAATGGATCAATATAGTACTTAGAAGAAAATACTGATGTGGAGAAAGCTGGGAGGGAGTGGGGTTCATATCTTGTATGTTGCTGGTAATAGCAACATATCCCAGTGTAAGTGTTCAATATGTAGCTAAAAACTTGGAGCTTGATTCTCAAGTGAGAGTTCAACTATATATAGGATTTAGGAGTTATCCACGGAGAAGAAATAGTTGAGTCAGTGGAAATAAGATCAGAAAAATATAAGGAGAAAGATTTGGAAGAACCAATGAAGGAAATTAAAGAGGTGATCAAAAAGGTAGCAGGAAAACTTAAATAGAATGGTATCAAAGATGAGAGATTGAAATCTATACATAAAAGGATTAGGGGAAATGGTTGTGAAGTCAGAAGTACACTCATAATATTCATTTCTTCTGTCTTGGTTTCAACTATGTCCATAAGCTTTATTTCAAGGATTATTATAAAAATTCCCACGTCCAGATATTTTTCAGAGAAATGTGGGATGTTCCTGCACTGTATATCTTTCAGAAGTAGGGATTGTGACTTTTCTATTCATTTCCATCACCTAACCAGTTACAATATAATTGAAAAACATGTACTACATATTTGTGTTAACTGAATAGACTTTATTATATCTAGTTTTTTGGATATCAGCCCTGTCATAACTTTCAGCATCCAGAATTATACCTACTAAACAAGCAAGCAAACACCCTTTACTATTGAGATAATTTGAGTTGCAAAGGAAAAAAAAAATAGCAAAGATCTGAAAATTACATTCTGTGCAAGTGATCAGTTAATTTGGTTACCAAAGGAGAAAGTTAGGAAATGGGAGAAATTTGCAGAGAATGGGAGATGGAAGAAAAGCGTATAGAAAAGATATTATGATATTGCAAAATTAGGATTTTTTTTTTTTATAATGCAAAAACAGGTTTATTTGTACACACCCTAATGAAGGAAAGCCATCTTCAGTTAAATGGAGACAATTAAGATTCTTAAGTAGCTGATTTGGGGACCTACTACAATGGGAAGACTTGCTTTGTTACCTTCAGACATCTGTCTCTTTACCTGACACTTGAGCGGGCTTTTTAAAAGGGTCTTCCTTCTGGACCTGCTTTTCCAATCTCTTATGATATGCAAGCTGTTGTTCCAGGTAGTTTGTGTTCCTCTTCTGTTTATCCAGGTACTTTCCCATGAAGTGTAGGAGATCGGTTTCCTTGTTGGCAGAAGCCATTGTCTTCAGGTTTTGCAGGAGGTTGGTTAACTTGTTCTCCAACTCCAGAGCAGACTCTAGAGCTTGTATTCCAGTTCCCCAGTTATCTATGTCAGGCCTCTTTATCACCAGAAGGCAGATTTTACTCTCCCGTTTACTAGATATCTTAGGAATTGCTTTGCATGTTCCCTCTTCACCTCAGCTTGGTCTTCAAAGAATGCGGCAAAAAGAGGTGCTCCCGTGTCTTGGTTGTAATAACAGGCCATAGATAAATAAGTATCACTGATATGCAGCTCATAAGATGCGACGTGATTAATAGCAACTCTACAGAGAGGAGGTTGTGCCTCAGGGATGCCATCTCAGCATCAGAGAAAACCAGGCAGAAACAGTGCTTTTTTTTTCAGGAACTTTTTTTTTTTTTTTTTTTTTTATCCTCACCCGAGGACATTCCTCCATTTTTTTGTTCAGGTAGAGTGGGAGGGAGAGAGAGGAACAGAGAGAGAGAGAGAAACATCGATGTGAAAGGGACACATCGAGTGGCTGCCACCCGCACAACTGACCAGGGCCGGGGACAAACTGCAACCGAGGTATGCGCCCTTAGCGGGAACCGAACCCGGGTCTCTCAGGACCGCAGTCCGACGCTCTAACCGCTGAGCCAAACCGGCCAGGGCAGAACTTTTTTTTTTTTTTTTTTAAACTTATCTTTATTTTTTCCCCAATTGTCCTTTTCTTCTCCACTCCCATCCCCCTCCTACCTTCCACACACTGTTGTCTGTGTCCATTTGTTAGGCATATATGCATATAATTTCTTTGGTTTATCTCTCCTGCCCCACTCCTCCTTCCATTTGAGGTTCCTCAGTCTAACAACCAAATTGTACTTCTTAATCCTTTCACTTTTTTTCACTCATTTCCCCATCCCTTCTCCCATCTGGCAACCAACAAAAAGTTCTCTATATCTATAGGTCTGTTTCTGTTTATCTTGTTCATTTCTTATTTTTGTAGATTCAGTCATTGATAGATATGTGTATTGTCATTTAATTGTTCATAATTTTTATCTTTTTCTTCTTCAAGAAAACCCTTCAACATTTCATATAATACTGGTTTGGTGGTGATGAACTCCTTTAGCTTTTATTTTCTGGGAAGCTCTTTATATGTCCATATATTATTAATGATAGTTTTGCAGGTTGTAGGTCCTTGCTCTTCATCACTTTGAATATTTCTTGCCACTCCTGGCCTGCAAAGTTTCTGTTGTAAAATGAGCTGACAGTGTTATGGGAGCGCCCTTGAAAATAACAAACTGCTTTTCTCTTGCTGCTTTTAAGATTCTCTCTTTGTCTTTAACCTGTTGCATTTTGATTCTTTTTTTTTTATCCTCACCCGAGGACATTTTTCCATCCTTTGTACAGATAGAGTGGGAGGGAGAGAGAGGAAGAGAGAGAGAGGGAAACATCAATGTGAAAGGGACACATCGAGTGGCCGCCACCCGCACGACCAACCAGGGCCGGGGACAAACTGCAACCGAGGTACATGCCCTTAGCGGGAACTGAACCCGGGTCTCTCCAGACCGCAGGCGGACGCTCCAACCGCTGAGCCAAACTGGCCAGGGCACCTGTTGCATTTTGATTTGATGTGTCTTGGTGTGGGCTTCTCTGGGTTCCTTTTGTTTGGGACTCTCTGTGCTTCCTTGACTTGTATGCTTGTCCTTCATCAAGTTAGGAAAGTTTTCTGTCATTATTTTTTCAGATCAGTTTTCAATTTCTTGCTCTCTCTTCTCCTTCTGGCACCCCCATGATGTGAATGTTGGCACACTTGAAGTTGTCTCAGAGGCTCCTTACACTATCCTCATTTTTTTGGATTCCTTTTTTTTTTATGCTGTTCTGATTGGGTGTTTTTTGCTTCCTTATATTCCAAATCGATGGTTTGCTTCTTGGCTTCACCTACTCTACTATTGATTCCCTGTAAATTGTTTTTTATTTCAATTAGTGATTCTTTCATTTCTGACTGGTCCTTTAATATGCATTTGAGGTCCTCACAAAGTTCCTTGAGCATTTTTATAACCCGTGTTTTTGAACTCTGCATTTGTTAGATTGCTTATCTCTGTTTTGTTTAGTTCTTTTCCTGGAATTTTGTTCTGCTCTTTCATTTGGGACCTGTTTCTTTGTCTCCTCATTTTTGGCTGCCTCCTCGTGTTTGTTTCTGTGTATTAGGTAGAGTTGCTGTGTCTCCTAGGCTTTATGGGGTAGCCTATTGTGGTATGTGTCTGGTAGGGTCCAGTGGCAGAGCCCCCTTGATCGCCTCAGCTGGGCCCTCAAGGTGCATCCCTAGTGTGGATTGCACACCCTTTTGTTGTAATCGAGTCTTCATTGCTGTTGACACATCAGTAGGAGGGATTTACTCAGGCTGATCAGCTACAAGGACTGGCTGTGCCCACTGACCACTGACCTCTGACTACCTTGAAGAATCAGCTGTACAGGGGCCCACAACACAAAGCAAGACTTCAGCAGGTCTCTGAGTCCACTCCATGAGTGTGTAGCTTGTGGAGGAGGTTGGGTGGTGGTGCTTTGACGTGGTCTGAAACTGTCCACAAAATCAGGAGCTTTTAGCAACAAAGATGAAGAGAACCACAGCAAAAGGAGACTGGAGCTCTGTAAGATATAGAACTTTCCCAGTTAATGTGAATATCATTGTGACTCAGGCACCCAGGGCTGTGCTTTCAGAGAAGGCACTAATGGCCCTTTCTGTTATAGTCCAACATACTAGTTGGCATTTATACTGATGATGCTACAATATCAATTAAATCTGGAAACTGGATTACATTTTAGAAAGGGTTATAGGTGAGAGAAGAGGTGATTTCTAAGCTTAGTTATGTAAAAGTTAAATTTCAGTTTTCTGGAAAATTAAGTAGAGCATCTCATTTCATCTAAACAGCAGAATAAACTGGTGTTTCTCTTTTAGTTGTTGCATTCCTGTATTTTGGTAGAAGATGTATATATTTCTGCCTGTAGGAGAATTGTGATCTGAATATGTCACAACCACATAGCCTTAGGCATAGAAGAGAATATCCAGAACACCAGACACCATAGAGGAAGGAACATCAGCTTTTGTAATCAGTCAGGTCTGAGTTCAAATGCCAGCTCTGCTACTTACATGCTGGGATGCTAATTGCCTTCATCTCTGAACTTGTTTCCTCATTTGTATAATAAGGATACCTTGCAATCTGGATTAGAGTTCATATTAGTGAAGTGCCTTGTATATGTGAAGGAATTCATAATGCCAACCTTACGAAGTAATGGCCCTAAGGCTAAGGGGAAATAGTGTGTGTATATGTGAACATATGCATACACACAATATTCAGGTTTAATATTTGTGATTTAAATTTTGTGTACTGTGTGAAGTAAATTCCTAAAATTGCATCAAGGAAAAAAATGTGACCATTATTTTTACCAAAGAATCTCTTCAATTTGGTGCATTTCTCTTCTTTTTTTAGCTTCATTTTAGGATCTTAGATTACACACTTACTGGGTGTTATGCGGATCAACATTCAGTTCAAGTTTTTGCATCGGGAAAACCAAAAATAAGTACACGTGAGTTGTATAGATTTATATTAACTTGAGGGAATTAAAATGGTGTTATGCAGTTATCACTTAAGGTAAAATTAAAATGTAACAGAAAAATATCAGGGAATAATCCCAATTTGTAAAAATTCTGGCCTGATCCTATTAGCTGTAACAGTTGTGTATCTTACATAGCCCTCTGCCTTCTTCTGTTTATAAAATTGTCTGGATGAGCAAGGATTGACAGAGAGATGGGCTTTAGTATAAAGTTGGATTTACTTTGCTCTGTTTATAATACACTTATTCAGGGGTTGTTCACAGGGGCTTTGGTATTGGACAGACATGGGTTTAAGTCTAGCTCAGACAGTTTGTTATCTGGGTAATTTTAGGCAAGTTAATGAACTTCTCAAAGTTTTAGTTTCCTTATCTGTAAAATGGAATATTAGTAATTGTTTCACAATTATCAGTCTCTTACCAAATTTTTGTTAATACAGTCTCATCGTTTCTTTTATTTTTCAGACCGGAAATTAATTTCTTCTGACTATTACATCTGGAATTCTAAAGCTCCTGCTCCAATAACATATGGATCATTATTACTGTAATTGTTTCATGTTTAAATATGATCTGTACAATAGTAACATAGCCTAAATTAAATCACAGTCTTTTATTTTTAATGTGTATGCATATAACCTATGAGTGAGAAATCATTAAATGATTTAAATTTAAAGATGTTCTTGTTTGATGTTTTTAGTCTGATGTAGTTTGGGGAAGGAAAAAAAAACATTTTAAAGACTAATGTCTCCACTTTTGTTACCCTTTGATTTTACTCAAATATGATTCAAAGCATAACCAGTAGTGATTCATTTCAGTCTTATTTTAGACTAGTCCTGGGTCTTCCTGCCAGACATGTTCCTTCCTTTGCCTGTGGCAGACGTAGCTAATCTATCACAGCCCTCTTCTCTCCACTGAGCTTCCCAGATACAGGCTCTGGCTCCTCTTCACTGCAGAGCTGCAGGCAGCCACTCCTGTTGGATTGTAGATGACATGCAAGATTAAAAAAAACTATTTGCTCTTCCAAACCTGAGTACTAAGTTACACTGCACTGTTTCAGAATACCAGAGGCCACGTTAGAAACAACTGTAAATCTCTTGAAAAAACAGCCAATGAAAACAAAGAAAAATTGTTTAAATAGTAAACTGTTTTTAGTCAGAACTATTCATTGACTTATGAAGAATCTGCATAATTCTACTTAAGGTGTTTATCTCTGTTCTAGAGTTACTTTTCAGGTAAGCTTATTAATCTGCCACAATAACAATTTGCTTTAGGGTGTCAATAAGAATAGTAAAAGGGGTGGTATATCTTTAGAAGATGAACATAGTGTTTTGTAATTACTTAATGTGTGTGGCCAAATTTTTAAAGATAAATTTAGGTGTAATACTGCTTTATTCATTTTTATTATTATTAAATTCATTAATGAATAAATTCAGGTAAGAATTAATGTAGCATATTTTCTTTCAATTCGTCACTCTGTCACTTATTAGTATTCTCTTGGTTTTCTCAGGAACCATCTAGTCATACTCTTTATTCTTTACCTGTCTTGACAATTATATGTCTCATTTCATTCCCAAAGCAGTTCATTGTCAAGTTGGACTTTAAATGACCATTCAAGGAAAGATGAAATCTTAAGATCCTCAAAATTTAATCCATGTCAAATTTCTTTTCACAGAACAGAATTAGAAGTGTTATGAAAAAATATACATTACAGATAAGTATTTAATTAAATTATATCTTGGTTTCTATTTTTTAATGAGTCTCCTACGGAAAAGCTTAGAAAAAGCTGCTAACTCCTTGAAGGGGAGTTATGATAGTTTGAAGGGATATTACATATAAATTTAGGATTTGAAATGTGATTTTTTAATTAAGGCCAATCCTGCTCATTATAAACTCCCATTTTCTGCAAGGCATTATCATAACATAATGTTCTCCATTCAAAATTATCCCAAATACCAAAGGAAATAGAATAAATTCCTGACCAGGACTTTAACTTGTTAGTCTAGCTTAATCATAGATAATCAGTAGTAAAAAAAAACCTTCCTTTTGAAAGAATAAAAAATTACTCCCCTTTAGTTATTTGATCTCTCTTAAACTCAAGGAAAGCTTATCATTAAACTTATGTTAATATTAATGGAGCCACTTGGACATCTTAATTATATAAATGTTTAGTAAAGTACACTAAGCTAGGCAAGAGGCATTTATCTACTGAGTAGGCAGAGATTCAGTATAATAATCCTCTAGAGAAAACTTTCTTTATAAGCAATCAGCAAAACCAGTGAATCTGATTTGACAGTTCTAGAAACTGGAGGAAAATCTAGGGAGTACTGGAAAAGTGTAGGGGCCATGAGCAACCTTTGGCCATCTGTTGCCATTCCATTCTAACATAACGCTACAGAACTAAAACCAACTCATGTTTTTATCCCATTGAGATCAGCTGGACACATTGTGATGCTTTTGATTTTGTCTAGAAACCTGTCACTTCGTGATAATTTCTGAAGACAAAGTCTGTTTCCCGTTTGGTAGGTGACCTGTTTAATGTTTTCCCTGTGTCTGGGAACTCCTTAGTGTAATTAGCGACCTTTGAACTCCACAACTAATCCTGAGCTATTTTGTATTCCTTACTCATCTTTAAGGCTGGACCTTTCTTTTCTTCAGAGACCGCTGCCACAATTAAAGAAGAAACAGCTGCATTTCAAAGGGATTCCGATTCCAGAAGCTTAATCGTGATTGACATGTTCTTATTCTAAGCTATAAGACACTCTAAGAGTCCTTTCTTGGGTTAAAACTTCAATCATTTTCTAAAAAATTATCTCACTATGGATTTTATTCATTTTCTTTGATAACTATTCTTTGCATTTTTAAACTTGAAAGATGCTTTGCGTTTGCAGTGAATATGAGCACCTATTTCCAAAGATTTGGATGGTGTCAGACTTACTCTAGATGCACAATTGCTAAATTCCCTTTTAGTGCCAAAATATGATTATGAAATCTGTTGTCTATCATATAGGTAATTATTCTTCAGTAGATCCAAAAGTTACAAAAAGTGTTAAATTTCTGAAAATGTGCTCCAGAAAGGATGGTTCATGATTTTGGTAAAACCCTTCTTTTCTAAACAATATTTTTAAAACTTTTTCAAGCCAGCAACACCCTTACAGGGGTAGGCTTTTTTTTTTGATAAATAATTGATTCAAATATCAAGTTTGAAGTAACCAGCCTTGTCAGGAATTCTTAAGAGAATTATTTGTTTTAAAATGTTTTCTTGATTAAACATTAGTCTGTCTCATAAAGTTTAAGTGTTTTATACCAACTAAATATTTGAGTTAAAATTATTGTGATTTTATGTATTGTATGATTTAATTAATATCTCTCAAAACACAATTTTATACATAGTAACAAGAGCTAATATTTTTCTTTTTTTTTTTTATTATAGTATTTCAAACCACTTTATATCCATTCGTAGACTCCTGCACCGCCCCTGGGAGGTAGGTAGGTCTAGTTTTCATCCAGAGCCTCTGCAGGGACTGCTGCCACCGCAGAACGGTTGTTTCTAAGACAAAGGTCAGAAAAGGGATGTTAATAAACAGTCCTCAGGTTTAAGGGACTTTTTTAGGATTACATCTTAAATTCCAACAAATCAGATTTAGGAGTTACTGAAAGTGAAATTGATCCATCCCTCATCCAAACTTTGCAATACTTTCCTGTTCTGACATCATTTAGATAGTTAGCTGTATTATCAGATTAGAAACCATTGTACCACGCTGCTGAAAGGAAAAGGAGGCAAAAAGCTAAACATAGGATGAATTCTGAACCTTTTAACCTGGCTGAAGTACGTTGGTCCCTGTTATGCAAATACCTTCAATCCTCTGCTAAGTTCAGTGGAAATAATTTTCTTGAATGACAGGTTTATTCAGCAAGGATTCAGTTGGTGATTAATCCCCCTTTGATCTAGGGTATTTCACTTAACTACCAGTTACCTCGTTCTGACAAAGTGCAACTGAGATTAGGGAGATCACTAGAACACTACCAGGGTGTGCGTTTATTCTCTCTAACCTTTTAAAGCAAGGGCCAAGAATGCAATTTATTTTCAGTATTTGAAGATGTAAAGTCCTGTCTGCTAAGTTAGAAAGTCAATTGAATATTAAATGAAGTTTATTTCTTATGTAATAAAACAAACATTTCTTTTTGCTTTGCCTAACAATGATTGTAGGAAACAGACTTTGAAGAAAGAAAAAACAAAGACTACATTCTAAGTGTATCTTCTAGTTTTGTTTCATGTGCTAGAGTGTATACTTACTGGCCCTGAGATAACCCAAAAATCATAGCAGTGGCTACAACTTAGGTTGAGAAAATGCTTCTGTTTTATTAAATTGCAAGGTTTCTTCCCACTCTCCTCCCATTAAAAAAGGTGGTAAATCCAATTGATGAAAACATGTAATACACAAGTATTCATCTTAAGACTTCTAATTTCAAGCTTTATTTGTTAACTCTGTCCTTTGTTGGGGAAAACAGCTTATGTTCCCATCATAATAATTGCATTTATTTTCAGAATAAAGATTTTTGCTCCTAAAGAAAGGTAAAGGATGCTATTACAAAAATAATTCTAAGTAATTATTTTAAATTATCAAAATAACCATTTTCCACAGTATTGTTTACTATTTTTCTGCCTTATTTTCATTTAACTGTGTACCTCTTCTTCCATGACTCTAAAACTTTGAAATATTCTTTGGATTTCTGCACATTATTTTAAGAATAAAATTTTAAGATGTGTTTCAATGCTAGGGTTTCTCAAAAAATTCATGTTTAAAAACTTATCAATGTCAATATTTATCTTGCAAGATAACAAACTTGGGGATCTACTCCTCATATATAGTTCAAGACCCTTAAAAAAATAATGATTTTTAACAAAATTTGTTTTTAAATATTAATTTATTATGAGTGATTAATTGTATTATATACTATAGTTTTTAAATGTTTTGTAATTGTCCATTGTTCTAGTAGCAGTTTGCAATACAAGTTATGTATTTATATAATTTGTATTTTTCTAGCTCAAAGTCTAAATCGAAACAATGACTCAAAGAAGTACTTGTCTAACTTACCTTGGTAGGAGCCTCTCAAGTTTCAATTTAGTAACCAAACTGTTTCCAAATATCTTTTGATAGCAAGTTACTTAATCTTAGAAATTGAGGATCAGAAAAAATATAAGATGAAAGGCAGGATCCCCTGGCTATGTTGCTAAGAAATCAGTATTTTTAATAATTCACTATGCAATTAATATTTAGTTAATAAAATGTTGCAGTATATTTTGATATATGCCACCAGCAAATCTATATAAAATATGTACATGTATGTATATGTAATGTATATAATACATATATTAGTGTGTGTGACTTGATGGGTTTTCTTATGAAAGATTTTAGTATGTCAGAGGAAGAAGAACATTTAAAGTCAGATATTCAAATATCTTTCCTCTAAACACAATGTTAGTTCATAGTAATGAAGAGGTTCTTTAAAATAAAAATTGTCAAAGAACTCATGAGATCCCTCTTACAAAATGAGTAAAACTTTTATGAACTGAAGGCTTTTCAACTAGCTTCTAATTTTTTTTTCATCAACCATTTTAAGGATATGATAATACTATCCACATACAGCGTGGAGCTGTGCAAGGCCCTATCTGTATTACTAATTTACTGCCTTGTCAGCAGGTTACTCTGAGGTCCAGGTTGATTTCTCTAAGGCCCTGGCTAGTCTGCGTAACTGTTGGCAGTGTGGTGTTAATGTATGATGGACAGCGTTCACAGATTGAGGGATGCTCTGGGATGGCAACCACCTGCTGAACTGTTTTTCCAACAGGCCGTGAAAATTAGTATATTTTAATCTAGTAAATATTTAAAGTCTAAGTGTATATTTCCTTTAAATGTCTTTTTAAATGATAGTTTTTTAAATTGATTTAGATAACACACTTTTAAGAACAAAAGTGAAAAATTAAAAATTGTTTTCCCTTTTAGTTTTTTACTTTTTCTTTCAAGGGACTTGAGTGCCCTCTACAGGTTGTAAAGAAATAATTAATGGCTATATTTATTTTTATAACCCTGTGATTTTTCCCTTTTAGAAGCATAGCCTGCATAAATGTGATCTATTTTATTTATATTGTTAACTTTTAATTTTCCAGTGATTGAAGGAAGAGTTTTTTTTTCTTGCTTATTTTATAGTTGTGTTTAATGTGAAGAATGTAATACCATTGACTTTTCCAAATCAGTTAGCTAGGGCTCTTTGAATATTGAAACTGTATACATTGGAATCTCGCAGAAGGGAGATTGGGGAAATCTAGCTATTTTGAAATTTATTGAAGAATAACCTGATTACTCCCCATTATGTTTTTAGAAAATATATTTGAAATAAGTATTACTTGTTCAATGTGCATCATGTAACATTTTTAAATTACAT